TTTGGGTTCAAAGGCTGCATGAAAGTTGAAATACCTGGATATATATTCCTCGAGAAGACTGGTTCTGCGGTCCTTGATGAGACTGGCGGATTGGTCTTGGGGTCCGTGGTGGAATCAGGGGAGCCGCTCCGTTCGGATTGCCTCTCCGTAGCCCCGAGTTGGGACTGGCTCTGTGATTGCTTTGGTTCTGGTGATGATGGGGCTGGTTCGGGGATTGCAAAGTCTTTCCCTTTCCCTGCTCTCATACAGGGTCAGGAAAACGCTATGTTATCGCACTCATCCTTTTCATCAGCATTATCATTATTACCGCTGGTGTAATCATCATTATTGCCATATTCACATTATTATAATCATTTGCGGTATCATATAATTGCCATTATCACCATCATCACTACCATAATCATGATCACAATATAAGAGGAAGGAAGACGAAAAATGAGATGATGAAAGGAAAAAGAGTGAGAAGGAAAAAACTCTTAGGCAGACAGATATATATATGTATATATATATATATATATATATATATATATATATATATATATTTATATATGTATATTATATATATATTATATATATATATATATATATATATATATATATATATATATATATTATATATATATATATATATATAATATATATATATATATATATATATATAATATATATATATATATAATATACATTATGTATATACATATGTGTATAAACATATATAATATTAAGCAAGATAAATAAATTAGACTGACTGACATACATACATAATATACATATATATTTATATATATATATATATATATATATATATATATATATATATATATATATAGATATAGATATAGATATAGATATATAGAGATAGATAGATATAGATAGATAGAAGATAGATAGATAGATAAGATAAATAAAGAATGGCAAAGACTGAATCAGAAAAAGAAGAGAGACGACCCGACGCGCACACGTATCCTTCACGCTTCATATGAACCCAACAGATGGCGCTCCTTAGAGGGAGAAAAAAAACTTCCGCATCTGACGCAAAAGTATGCAAACTAAAAGACTCTGTGCGTATCAGTACTTACGTTCACAAATGTAAATATACCGCATTATTTTTGTTGTTTTTGTATATATACTTTTCCATAGACGAATAAGATTTAATAGATAAGCTCCTATCCCAACCTAGAAGAGTTTTTTTTACATACAGATAAACAAATGGAAATGAATGATCTGTTAGTGGTTTCTTGATTATGCATTGCCTTTAATTATTTATTACCTTTAATTATATATATTAATCATATATTTTTATTGCTTCTTCCTCCTTAGTATAGCTTGTTGTATTTCCTTTATACAATGGAAAATTTGTATTGTCTTTTATTAAAATAACATTGTCTGATACAAAATGGAAAGACATTTTGATATATAAAGTTATTATACATGAAATAACTTCCCCAGAGGTTAGTGATGTTGAAATTCTCAAGGAAAACGAGGACTGAAATTTTCTGTTTATTGTTATACGAAAGATCAGATTAAAAGAAGAAGCAGGAGGAATTCGAAGAAATTGTGTAAGGGAGAGAGGATTAGGCGAATGAATGAAGAAACATATTACGGTTGAAAATAGATACAAAGATAGAGTTGAAAATAGAATGAAATAGAAATGCACAGGATAAGATATGTGTGTGGCTGTGTGTGTGTGTGTGTGTGTGTGTGTGTGTGTGTGTGTGTGTGTGTGTGTGTGTGTGTGTGTGTGTGTGAGAGAGAGAGAGAGAGAGAGGAGAGAGAGAGAGAGAGAGAGAGAGAGAGAGAGAGAGAGAGAGAGAGAGAGAGAGAGAGAGAGAGAGAGAGAGGTAGAGAGAGAGAGAGAGAGCGAGAGAGAGAGAGAGAGAGAGAGAGAGAGAGAGAGAGAGAGAGAGAGAGAGAGAGAGAGAGAGAGAGAGAGAGAGAGAGAGAGAGAGAGAGAGAGAGAGACAGAGACAGAGAGAGAGACAGACAGACAGACAGACAGAAAATAGGGGTGGAAGTTGCTCGCCTAACCACTTACTTGATGCAGTCTAGCGTAAGAAAAAGACTAAACACGGCCTTATGGTCACTTCAGCGGTTGCCGGTTTGTAGATTTACCGTAGTCTATATAATCATTTGCCTATTTTTATATCCCTTTCTTCATATAACGCATGTTGCTTGTTGATACACTGCAATCATAACGATATTCATAATTGTATCAATTTTATTAACGAAAATTAGTATGTTAACGACAATGAAGACAGGTATAATAGTGATAAATAGACTAAGGGAGAGATAGGTTTAAAAGGAGAGGCGAGATAAAGTTAATGCATGGATGGGAAGACATGAAGGTCAATGAGAGAGTGAAAGAGGAAGAGGGAAACGAAAATGATTAGTAGCAAAGAGAGGAGAAAGGAGAAGAAAAAGATGATTATGATGATGATGAGGACGATAATAGTGATGATGATGATGATAATGATGACGATGATGATGGTGGCGATGATGATGATGAAGGAGGAAATAAGGAAAGGGAAGGCCAAAGGCGAGAAGAACTACACTTCCTTTTCTGAGCCTGAGTCTTACGTAACAAACTGTGCTGGATGTTTTATGGCACATTTCAGTGGCCTTCGTGGTTGAATTCGTGGTTTTACGGTCACATTTATCATCATCATCAGTATGGTTACCTCCATCATCAGTGTCATCACCTGTTTCATTATCATCGTCCTCATTACCTTCCTATACACAATTCATCAGAATCACGGAAGTGTGTCATTGGTGAAACAAAATGAAAATGAGTGATATTTGTGTTCAGACTTCGCTCATAAATTTCGCTAAGTTGGGCCTGGGAGAGACCGCCAAAAGCACGTTTTCTTTGGTGGCATTTGTACCCTGGGAAGTTGGCATCTGTCCAGTCTTTCTCTTTCTTTCTTTCTTCCATCATTTTAGGTCTAGGTAAGGTGTAGTTTTTGCGGAAGAGAAATTATGATAGTTTTGCTATTGCCGCTGTTAATCATCGCATTGCACAATTTAGGAATAGTACATTGTTCATGTCATAATTGTAAATTATCTTAATACAAATATTAGCAATAGTGCAATATTTTTGTCACAACAGTTGTTAATTATCTGAATGAACAATCAAACAATTGTACATTATTCTTATCACAGTTATTGATTATCATAGTGACGAACAAGTTAGTGTTACTACTAATATATAAACTTTACTGATGATACGTTAAACCAACATTGTATACACGTGTCAATGCGTGTGCGTGTAAAATGATAAGCACTTTAAAGAAACTAGAGCAATCTGGAATAAACTAGACAAATAAATGCATCTTGTTGCACAGAATCAAGAATCAACATAGCGAAGGTCGCCTGAAAATTTATCATTAGTTCCGATACAGACTTTCTCTTTCCTTTACGTTCGGGACTGTTATTGTTGTCATCATTACTGTTGCTATTTTTATTATTATTATTGTTGTATTATTGAAAAGCATGAATGTAATTATTTGTGTGCTTTTGATATTCAGATAGTTTGTTTATAAATGTTTCCAGCCGTTAGACTTTCAGTATCATACCTAATATATCGAATATATCCTTTTTAGCTGATTAATCCGCCACCATGTTACTCACTTCTCAGAAGAGCCACGTCTTTGTCTCTAAGCAACAACATTACAATTGTACATATAAATAAATAAATAAATAAATATATATATATATATATATATATATATATATATATATATACATATATAAGATATAGATATACATATATATATATATATATATATATATATATATATATATATATGTGTGTGTGTGTGTGTGTGTGTGTGTGTGTGTGTGTGTGTGTGTGTGTGTGTGTGTGTGTGTGTGTGTGTGTGTATGTGTGTGTGTGAGAGAGAGAGAGAAAAAAAAAAGTGTATCTATAAATAAAAGAACACATAGATATATATGTGCGCACACACACACACACACACACACACACACACAACACACACACACACACACACATATATATATATATATATATATATATATATATATATATATATGTGTGTGTGTGTGTGTGTGTGTGTGTGTGTGTGTGTGTGGTGTGTGTGTGTGTGTAAACATATATTGATTTATCTACACACACACACACACAGAGCACAGTGGTTTACGTTATACAAGGATGCGCTTTGCAAGTGCCGACGCGGCCAAGAGTCAGTGGGTCGCATACAAAGTCACTGTCGAGCCGAGTCGTATTTTATCGTCCGTTACACTGAGTTTATTTTATTCTATTGATATGTGAATAAACAAAAATATTAATACGAGCAAGAGAAAATGCAAGAAGAAGAGAGAGACGAAAGGGATTTTCAATATAAAGATTTCTAGACAGTGCAGTGTCCTCATCAACACACGCCAGGGGAATATTTATTCATCTAGTAATGATATGTCAGACATGTGTAAGATCTAATCGGAAAGGGTGTAAATGTTATTTCTATTTCTCTTATCTGTAAACTTGTTCAACAGGTTTTCGAGAACATGTCTTGCTGTAAAGCAGATGTTGATATCAGTTGGGTTAGGCCAAGAGATAATAACATTTACTTTTATAGTTCCCTTTTGAATCACCATGTCCCAGATTTTCCACTCGTCCTTGAATAAAACAAGATTCAAAGACTGCATAGAGAAAATCAAATTAACTTGTCAATCTTAAAAAATTAAAAAAAATCAACCACGACCCATCTCCCAAACTAATATCTCTTCCCTTCTTCTCCTGCAGGATTCGGCCACATGTCCCCCGCCACGCCTTGGGGCCGCGTCTTCTGCATCCTGTACGCGCTCGTGGGCGTGCCCCTCAACGGCATCCTCGTGGCGGTGCTCGCGGACATCTTCTCCAGCAAGGTCGGTGCTGGCGGAGGAGGGGACGGGGAGGGGGAGGGGAGAGGGAGGAGGGGGGTTGGAGAGAGGAAGGGAGGGGGGAGGAAGTGGGAGAGAGGGAGGGAGGGGGATTAGAGAGAGAGAGAGAGAGAGAGAGAGAGAGAGAGAGAGAGAGAGAGAGAGAGAGAGAGAGAGAGAGAGAGAGAGAGAGAGAGAGAACAAATACTGGGCCTTTCTTTGCCCAAATCGAATTTTCTAGAGCAACATCACAATACCTAAAATACGTGGTGTGTTATCATAAACAGTAATATGACACCGAAACAACAGCAATAACATCAATCCTTAAGCCAAAACACAACTACAACAACAAACACACCACAAAACAATTAACCCAATCAAACAGCAGAATCCTTACAAATTCAACAACAATAACAAACAACAACGACAGCCTTGACAAATACACACAAACATAAAACCCACAACCCGATCAGTGGCAAACCCTCTACAAACGCCACCACCAACAAACGCACATACGCACACACACACACACAAAAGAAAAAAGCACGAGCAGAACATGACCAACGTCCATTGCCCTAACCCCCTCCTCCCCCTCCCCAGGTGGTGAACTCGCACGTGCGCGCGCGGGCCAAGCGCTACGAGTCGCGGCTGGGCGTGGCCACGGACGCCGTGCTCTACCTGGTGCCCGGCTTCATCGTGTTCCTGTTCGTCCCGGCGGCCGTGCTGCTGGTGGTCGAAGAGGGATGGAATTACCTCGATTCCTTCTACTTCGCCTTCATCACTCTCACCACCATTGGATTCGGGGACTATGTGGCCGGTGAGTGGGATGGGATTGCGTGTCAGTTAGGCTGAGGCATTCGCCCATATTCAGAGACACCTCGGACACCTTTTTCGATTGAGGTCCGCCCCCACTTTGGGTCTGATCAACGGTGATTGGCTGCGACGCAAGGCAGCTCGACGGTGATTGGCTCACGGGTGCGAGATGCTGGAACTCCGGGACAAAAAGGTGTCCAAATTGTCTCTGAATATCCCTTGAAATTAGGCCTCGTACTTTCCGCCAACTACCCAGCAGTGTTCAATTGCTAACAATTTTTTTTCTGACATCATCATGAAAACGCTTCAGAAATATAACCTTGAAATGTAGCAATGTGCAAAGCACTAGGGTTGCAGTGAACATCTAACTGCTTCCTCACTTAAAACAACACACCATATATATATATGTATATATATATATATATATATATATATATATATATATATATATATATATATATATATATATATGTATATATGTATATAAATGTATATATATTATACACACATGCACACATACACACACACACACACACACACACACACACACACACACACACACACACACACACACACACACACACACACACACACACACACTCACACACACCACACACACACACACACACACACACACACACACACACACACACACACACACACACATATATATATATATATATATATATATATATATATATATATATATATATATGGAGAGAGAGAGAGACATACACACCTACATACATACAGCCTACATAGGCACGCATATGACAAAATATTATAAACGATACTTTTCCTAACTCCACTCCCCCCCCACAGGGCGACAGGATCTGGACCACATGTGGATCTGGACTTACAAGGTCGTGATGGTGGTGTGGATCGTGTTCGGCCTCGGATACATCGTCATGGTCATCACCTTCATCCAGAAGGCGCTCAGTTCGAAGAAGGTGAGGCAGGGAGAGCGGAGGGAGAAGGGGACAAGAAGGGAGAGGGAAGAAGGGACGGGAGGGGAGGGAGAGGGAGAAGGGACGGGGAGGGAGGGAGAGGGAGAAGGGAGGGGGAAAGGTGAGGTAGGGAGAGAGGAAAGGGGAGGAGGGAGAAAGGGGAGGGAGGGAGAGGGAGAAGGGACGGGGAGGGGAGGGAGAGGGAGAAGGGGAGGGGGAAAGGTGAGGTAGGGAGAAGGGAGGAAGGGGAGGGAGAGGGAGAGGGAGGGAGAAGGGGGACGGGGAGGGAGAGGAGAAGGGACGGGGAGGGGAGGGAGAGGGAGAAGGGGAGGGGAAAGGTGAGCAGGGAGAAGGGAGGGGAGGGAGAGGGAGAAGAGGAGGGGGGGCAGGTAGAAGGGGAGGGGAAAGGTGAGGCAGGGAGAGGGGAGGAAAAGGGGAGGGGAGGGGAGGGAGAGGGAGAGAGAGAAGGGTAGGGGACGGGGAGGGAGAGGGAGAAGGGGAAGGGAGGGAGAGAGTGAAGGGGAGGGGAGGGAGAGGGAGAGCGAGAGAAGGAGGAAGAGGGTTTGGATTTGAGAGAGGGGGAAGGGTGTGGGACGAAGGGAGGAAGAGAGGAAGCAGAAGAAAGAGGGAAGGAAAGGAATAGGGTAAGGGAAGGAAAAAGGGACGGAGGAAGGGAGGCAAGGGGAGAAGTTAGTTATATATGGCCAATTAACTCAAACAATACCAATCGCCCATTCTGATAAACACTAATAAAATGTTTTTGATTCCAGATTCACAGGATTGAGCAAAAGGTCGCTCGGACGCTGAAGAGACAGGCCTCCAAGATTCACCAGAACCTCCACACGGACCTCAAGAGGCTGCGGAAGGTAATAGATTGCTGATTTGGTCTCGCAAAACTGGTCTCTTTTGGTCATGGGGATAGGCTTATTTTGGTCTCGGCGCTTGGTGGATAGCCGAGTACATCCACCATGTACATTTAAATTGATGTCAGCGTACAGTCATTCAGGCCAGGCTTATATTAATTCTAGTCTCAGATATTCGCTTGGGTTTGTGGTAAATCTGTCTATCCATTTCCATCTATCCTCACTGTATCTCAATCCACACACTTTCATGATCTGTCCAATTGACTATATCCATCTATTCCTGTTCTCTCTGCGTCAATCTATCTGTCAGTCTGTCTGTCAATATCGATCCATCACCATTTTTCCGACGATAGATTCGTAAATCCGATTCCCTCTCACACCCACGTCTCCTTCGCAGGTGGTGACAGCTCTCGCGATCCTTCCTGACGACACTGAGGAGGACTGCGGCAAGGAGAAGGTCCTGAAACGGTGCGCGAGCCAGTCCGCGATGTCTCAGGGCGTGGGCGGCGTCGAAGCCAAGGAGGATCACACCCTCCCCCGCTCGGTGACGTCACTGCAATCGTCCGATCGCATGAAAACCTTCCGGCAGGCGTTGTCCGAGGCGGCCATCAACAATGTGGGCAAGGTGGGTTGGTTTCTCATTCACACACACTCACACACTCACACACACACACACTCTCTCTCTCTCTCTCTCTCTCTCTCTCTCTCTCTCTCTCTCTCTCTCTCTCCTCTCTCTCTCTCTCTCTCTCTCTCTCTCTCTCTCTCTCTCTCTCTCTCTCTCTCTCTCTCTCTCGCCTGTTCTCTCTTTCAGTGTCAATTTCATTATTTATACTCTTTATTTACACATTTCCCAATATATTCTTAAATCTGAAGTACCGGCCTTGACCCTTCATGTGCTCCCGCAGAAGGACCAGCTCCGCAGCCTGTCGTCTCTGGAGGACGTGGCTCTGTTCCTGGAGATGGTGGAGTCGCTGCTTCACGAGCACGAGGCGGGCATCGCGAAGGAGGCGGACGACCAGGCGCACCACATCCTCAGCGACGACGACTCCAACTCCTCCGACGATGACTCCTACGGCACTGTGACGGACATCCCTCACAAGGGGGACCTCGAGGCCGGCTTCTGCAATCAGGCTTTCGTTGGCGACAAGGGTGAGGTCGAGGTCGCCGTTCAAAAGCCATGCCATGACGCCAGCGACGGCAGCAAGAAGGGCCTGGAAAAGGAGGATGAACCCAGCGTTAACCAGCGGGTGCAGCAGCGGCTAAACTGTCTTCTGATGGAGGTAGACAAAAAGTCGAGCCGAGGACGTCTGCACCATAAGTCGCTGACAGAAATCACTTCTTCGGGCCAGCTCCTGGGCGAGATGGAGAGCATCGTGTGCAAGCCCTTCTCGAGCCCGGACCTCTACGATACCAGCAGCGCCAGCCATCGAAGCTACAACTCCGTCCCAGGTCGCATCAAGAGCGGTTGCGTGAAATCGCACCCGAGCCTCAGCGACGTCTTCCCTGCGTTGCCCTCCGCCTGCGACGCCGTCGACCACCAGCCTGTCTCCCAGCACGGCGGCCAGCACCCCGAGAAGCCAGCCGGCCGCCGCTGGTCCGTCGGGAGCGAGAGTCGCCGGAAGGGGGTCCCTCGCGATGGCCACCACGCCCCCCACCACGCCCCCCACAACTTCCTCGCGGGCATCAAGCTGTCTGCGGCAAAGAGCGCCAAGGACCTGAGCTCGCCGCTGTCTCTGCTCTCCCAGTGGATTCACGGCAGCGCCCTCAGGACCCAAGGCCTGCAGGAGGCGGAGAAGGCAAGAGAGAAAGAGAAGGACAGCGGCAGCAGTGACGAATCGCAGGAAGCCACTACACCTCAATACACGCGGTTGTAATGTTTCATTTTTATTTGGTTGTTGTTGTTTTTTTAATTCATTTATGATACTTCATGGATCCAAAGTAGTACAAATATCGTATACTTGCTAGATGTGTTGAAATGTCCAGTCAAGGGACATTTCTCAGGAACCAAGCGTGCGTATGTAAACACATTCATTTCGATATCTAGACGAAATTATCATGCGTATATCTGGAAAGTCAGACTAAAGAGAGAGGCCTTGTTTAACATCTTGAGTGTGCACTACCAAATTCTCGAGTGTACAGAGTTTGCAGCTGATCTATGCAAATGCGCGAGAGTTTGCAGTTTGCACCTAAGATATGCACCTGCAATAATAAAAAAGATTGTGCTTAACAGACATTTCTTATATGCACAATAAGGATATATAAAAAAAAAATACCCTGGGTGTGCACATGTAGAACATTTTATGCCGGCTGTTTGGGCAGGACTGGCAAGACAAATACAGCAACATGAAGCCCGACCTGAAAGTGAACTTGTGCCTTAAACTTGGCGGATAACAAATTGTGAAAGTAACGTTTCCAGGTATCAGTCCGTCTCTTTCGGTGAGAAAGCCACTTACGTTTCTAGTTATGATTGTGTGTGTGTGCATATATATATATATATATATATATATATATATATATATATATATATATATATATATATATATATATATACACATACACACACACACACACACACACACACACACACACACACACACACACACACACACACACACACACACACACATATATATATATATATATATATATATATATATATATATATATATATATGTATGTATGTATGTATGTATGTATGTATCTATATCGTTATGTATATGCATATTATCATTTTCTATGTGTTAGAAAACCTATTGTCTATTAAGATATAAGCCACCACTCACTCCATGCATGCCAATCACACAATCATTCCATGTATTAACTCAGATGCAAAGTCAGGCTCTTACATAGTGAGTACAATGACTACATACAAACTGTGCCTTAAAAACATGGTTTATGCGTATGTGATATATAGAGATAAATAAATAAATGTATATATATTTATTCATTTATTTCTCAAGGAGTTTTATTGAATAAGTATTCGTGTAAGTAGTAATCCGATCCGCTGTGATTTCCAGTGATTTTAAAAGCCTTCTGTTCCCATATACTGTATATAATGTAAAGCGATTTGCTTTTATAAGGCATTTGTCTGATATGATTTTTCAGGTCTACAAGTATTACTAGTTTGTGCTGCCAAAGGCCAGTGTTGTTATTTCTTATAACCTGCGCAACGCGTTCGTCTTGCGATCTCGCTGGCCCGCGTTCGATCCGGCGCGCTGCCAGGGGATGGAAACCCCGGCCATTCCTTGCGCATAGGGTGGCTCTCTCTCTCTCTCTCTCTCTCTCTCTCTCTCTCTCTCTCTCTCTCTCTCTCTCTCTCTCTCTCTCTCTCTCTCTTCTTCTTCTTCTTCTTCTCTCTTCTCTTCTCTTCTCTTCCCCCCTTCTCGACACGGACATAAATTATTTTATTTTCGCCATTACCTTTAAGCACTTTTTTTTCTCTCTTCTCTTTTGTGGCAGTTTTTATACATTCCAAATTCCATAATAATTCCCCACGTGTGTTCTTTGATCAGATATATCTCTTATGATTCAAGCATTTCCTTGTAAATAACTACCTTTCTGATAAATACTCGTATTATATCGAATCCATAATTTAAAACCTATATTACGTATATAAAATACCTCATTATGTTAGTCAAGGTGTACCTAATAAACAACAAAGAGTGTTTCGAATAATGGCTTCAGATATTAGAACAGTGCATTGTACATTTAATTTCTTTTTTATTGTAAGTGTTTGTAGTACCTGACTAATGTATTTTTGAAGTCGGGGAAGAGATTTGAATGCATTTACACTGTATTTTTTCACAAAGAGGTAAAGCATCAAGTAAAATACAGGTATACGGCCAAGGGCTCAAAACGCATGTAGTGTTTTAGTCTAGTATTAAAGTCTCTGTTATAAAAGACACATATTGTATATTGTCACATTGCAGTTTATATATATATATATATATATATATATATATATATATATATATATATATATATATATATATATATATGAATGTATGTATGTATATGTATCATGTATGTATGTATGCATAATTCTAGAGTCATAAACAGTAAAAGTTATCTTTTTGGCAACAAAAAATAACGAAACCTCTACAGCCTGTCAGATGTGAAATTACTACGATTTTTATATGTAAAGTTAACTACGCTGGATTTTATGAACCATTTTGTAAAACAATTATTAAATATTGATATTCTACGTTATAACTGATATTTTGTTATTTCACCCAATATAACCGAAGAAAATTACAGGTCTGTTTTTTTTTACCTTCATTCACATTAATGTAATGGTAGTAAGTCATTAACAATAAACTATCCACAATTGAAAAGGCAAAGAACATACGTTGATCATGCTTTTTTCAGCTCATTTTTTTCTATGTTCAGAAGTAATGTTTCAAAAGGAGAAAGAGTTTCAAATAGTGATGATTTATATATTTATTCATTTTTTATATTGGCTTTATAATTATATGATCTAATGATCAGCTGCTTGTGTTTGCTAGCACCGGTGTCATGCTAAGAAAAAAATCACAAGAACGCTTGCCCAGCTGACATTTTATCACCAAGATTACCTAAAGTTTACCTACAGTTCGGCCAAAATGATCCGCATATTTCTGTAAGCAATTATACTATGATAAAATATATGAAATTAGAGTATACATTTTAGAGTATCATTGGAGATATAACACGCAACACCAAACCCGAAGAATCTGACCTACGGTGTCGGGATAATTGTTCCGGCTTCGGTAAGAGTCACGGCAACGACGGAAAAGACCGGCGGACGCGCACTCTTGCCTACGGGGCCGGAGTCACTAAAGGCAGTGCTGGCGAGAGTCACCATGGTAAACAGACAGCAGTGGTGTTCACTAACAGAGTTACCATCGTAAAAAGACAACAGTAGTATTCACTCACACCTTGTCATCTTGTCATGGAAAATTTTACCAGTGGTCGGAGCACTAGTTAATTCTGGGAAGACGATGTCATAACAATATTTAAGCAATTCGGTTTATTTTACACATGGTATAATGGGCATGGCGAAGTAATGCAAATTTCACATGTAATTAGAATGAATCAAATCCGCACAAATTTTTGTCAAATTATAGGAAGACATAGGCCTACATTAGCCTGTAGTGCATTATTACAACTTCAATAGAAAAAACTACCCTGCTGATATATAAGCTAGCAATATTAACATTAAACGAGTGTAGTATCTGTGTCTGGCAAAGGACAATAAACTCCAAAGCGCGTGGGCAAGAATGAGCTTGAAGTATTTCCTTTATTTGACAATAGATGGCGATGAATAAAAAATTCGTTTCGACCGGTCCTTTGTTGAACGAAGATAAATAAATAGATAAACAAATAAAAGCTGTTTGGGCTATTTCTTTGGTTTGCAGCAAACAATGGTATATTAATACAACAGTATTTTATTAGTTTCCATTTATACGACAAATAGCCAGGGAAGTCTATTAATTTCCAACATAATATATATAATTAGATATTTTTTTTAAATTCTCCCTATATATTCTTAAATGGTGTTTTAGTTGTGAAAATTTAAAAATCCTGCTGTGACTACTTCTGTTTGCATGTTAAGTGACTGACCGAAAGAAACCTTTATATGGCGCTCGCTGATTGGCGGAATTGCTTTACCATTAGAATGAGTCGACTTGCGATTGCATCTCGCTCGACGCTGGTTACCATTTCTTCGTGAATCCCGCTTTGCCATCACTGGTAAACACAGTGGTAAATGCATTACGATCGTATGTTACTGAGCCGGATTCACTAATGCTCTTACGAGGGTAAAATCGCTGGCAACTAGTTACCATCGTAAACTATGGTATTTACTAACTATGTAAACATTATCAGTAGTAAGTCTACTGGTAACTTCAGGAAAGAAACTATGTAATAGCGTCTTATCTTATCCAAAACTTAATATTTGAGCATTTTTTTTCTAATAATTGATATGATTGCAATGATGGGAAGCACATTTCACAAAAAGTCTTGATGTACAAATACAATCACTTAAAACAAGCAAGAATAACGTCCACACAATTTCTTTTCGTAATTATGGGTTGAGTATAAAAAAAATATATGGAATCGATTGATCATAAAGCATTCTTCTCTACAATCATTATAGAAATTCTAAAGAAAAACAAACTTATTGATCCATAAACTACCAGTGGAAGCGTTTAATGAGTATAGCAGCTGTATCCGTTGGAACTGTGGCAAAGGACAGCAGACTCCAAACCAGGCTGGACAAGAACGAGTTTGGATCCACCTCCTGGACGAGAAAAGATGGCGAGATCTATCAGATAAACATGAGGCTTATATTGGGACTTCTTCAACGCATACGCGACCCGTTGGTTCTTTGTAGTGCCTTAGTATGTATGACGTCATAGCCACTCCTGCCCCTCGGTTAATTCCTTGTCCCGTTTCTACGTGCCCCGGCGCCAATAGTGTTGATAGTTGAGATATTTTATTATATAGAATTGCGCGACAAATTAGTTACATACCTTGCATCGAGAAAATAAAGAGACGATCCATAATCACGTCAAAAAGAGTACCTTTCCTCAAAACATTGTTCAAATGATTTCCCTGTAGATAGGAATAATGTTCTTAAAGTTCGGTCATATGTAAATTGAAATGAATAAATAAAGAAAATCTGATTCGTTTCCTTTGCTTAAATATCAGTTTTGGGATTCGCTACTACTAGAAACATTAATAAAAATGCAATGTTAATGACTGAAATAGGATTCTAATTTATTCGTAATAGTCTATTATGTGTATGTGAGAATGAGGCATTGTCAACTTAAAATCCTGCTCCCTGGTGTTCGTGATCTAATACCGCCATTGGATATTCTTTTATCTTTCTTGTAAATTGCATGTCTTCCTCCTATTGCACTCAAGGTGACTTCTGTGATTTATCAATAAAACTCCTGTCTTAAACAAAGTTAAAGTCATTAGATAGATCTTATTATCTATTATCTTTCAGTCCGGACAAGAAACTACTTTAGAGCAGTAATAAATTGTTACAAAGTATTATTTTTTAATGTTTGTGTTTGCTTTCATAGTTATCACGGATACTCTCATATGCAGTTAATTTTTAAGCAGTTTTCAAAGGTCAGAAATAACAATACAAGAATCATTAGGTTTGTTGTTCATTGTAAAGCCCATTATAGGTGAACAATGATTTGCACGTAGTTATTAGTAGCCAGTTACCTTTCTCTCTCTCTCTCTCTCTCTCTTTCTCTCTTTCTCTCTCTCTCTTCTCTCTTCTCTCTTCTCTCTTTCTCTCTTTCTCTCTATCTCTCTCTCTCTTTCTCTCTTTCTCTCTTCTCTCTTCTCTCTTCTCTCTTTCTCTCTTTCTCTCTTCTCTCTCTCTCTCTCTCTCTCTCTCTTTCTCTCTTTCTCTCTATCTCTCTTTCTCTCTTTCTCTCTCTCTCTTTCTCTCTTTCTCTCTATCTCTCTTTCTCTCTCTCTCTATCTCTCTTCTCTCTTCTCTC